CAGGAGAGGTCTGCTGCGCCATGTGGTCACCTCCCGGGCAGGCCGGGATCGAACTCATGCGGAAGTGGCTTTAGCTCCTCAGTGCTGTGCTTTAATCAACTGCACCAGGCAGGGCCTGGGGTACTATCTTTAACTTTTAAACTTTTCTCATTTCATGTTCCTAAACATAAAATTCCAAAAGTCCTTCAGTGGCTCTAAATTTGTTTTAATATAAAACATTTTAATTTAAAAATAGAAAAAACATTCTCCAAGTAAACTTCAGAAAAACCAAAACGTGTTCATAATCCAGATTAAAAGGAGTTTTTATAACATCTGATATTCTGGAACATTAATTAGGAAGCTGAACAATTCTAAGAATAATTGCATATCTGCTTGTGAAATTGTAGCTGTCTAGTTTCAAAATAGATTTCCTTTTGTAATAATCTGTAAAGTCAAATTCCTTTGGTAAAGAATGTTTCAGTCTAACTTATTTCTATACAAAATGTTTCAATGTTATCTTTAAGAGACCACATTTACTATTTGGTTCTTCTACACTTCCTGAATATAACCTAAATGCTCTAACACATAGACTCATCAGTAGCCTCACTTTCACACTTAGCCCTCTCTGCCTCATTTCTGATAGCTATTTTTCTGTCCTTGCAAAGACAATGCCCTAGAAAAGCAACAGATTCACTCTGGATCCTGCCAGCATGGAAACTGCTATTGTCTGGCTTCCCCCAACACTTCACAGAGTACAGGTTTCCTTGATTATCTGTAAGTAGAATGATCTTATTTATTGTGATTTGGTGGTTATTTTGGGGTCCAGGAAAGCTAAACGTAAAATCTATATAAATTATTGCTAAAGAGTTCTCAGACCCCAACAAATGGCCTACTAAATCGTAGAAATAGGGAAGCTTTGTGCTAGGATAGCAGAGGAGACATATGTTTCTAACCAGGCCAAGGAACACAGGACTTGTGCTGGGAAGTAGCAGCAACAGAGGAAGATGTCCCTGACAAAGCCAAGGCTCAGCCTTAGCTGCCCAGAAGCAGAACGTGTTTACCAATGGGT